CCTTCGGTCAACTTTGAGTCGTCCGTAAGCCTGATTCAAAGGACTTTTGAATCCTGACAATGTGGATGAAAAGGTATATCAGTTTCAGTAAAACAGAATCTTGAAAGGGCGGTTTTGAATTCACTCTACCAATCGTGGTGCGAATCGAAATGGAGTACCGAGCAAATCTGGCCAAAAAAGATGAGAGATGATAATGACATGCATCGGTAGCTATAGGCGTGGCCCAATAAGTCTCAAGTCAGCGTACGTCGGACACTCCAACAACCCTGTGACACTAAGGTCATTTGCAAAATGTGACTCAACTCCAGCAATGAGTTCATGAACACTGGTATCAACTCGTTTCGAGTCCGCCAAATCTTTCAGCATGATATCGCAAGGCTGTAGTCTCACTTCTCCAAACTTTGATTTTAAGATCTCAACCCTGGCCAGCTGAAGAAGTCGTAAGATCACAATATTTGATCAGAAACACTGTTTTAGGAATTCTACCAGTTATAGATGTCCTCACCTCCATTGATACATCAAAGCCTTTCACATTCAATAGCCGACTCGACAGCAGCAATTGAAGTTCCTTCACAAACCCGTCTCGAGTTTCATATATGCTTACCAAACTTTCAATCGCGTCTTCTTTTAATCCGTTCTTATATCCAATAGGTGCATCTACGGGGTCAGGTGTCCAGTTCGGCGAAGTATAATCCACTTCTTCTTTAATTGAAAAACTGGGTCCATCTGGACCTGAGATTGGTCTATCCTTACAAGGAGAGCGATCCAATTCGTCTCCTAAAGTATGACCAGGCTCAACAAGTGAAGTCACAATGCAGCGTATTGTATCCTCACGACTCCTAAAAAGAAATGAATTGGATGAGTCTTTGCTGATTAGGTTTGGAAGAGCAAGGATGAGAATCATACTGTCATCGGGACACCCACCTAAGATAGGTCCTGACTGGATGACCCACACAGCTGAGTAGGACTCCAGGTGGATCCAAGACGCGCATAGCTTTCATCAAAGAGATATATTGTGTGATTATATCCTGAGTATCTGCACCAGGGTGTAACAATCGTGTTCGGTTCGATTTTTGTAGGGTTCGGACAAGTAAAGAACGTTGATCGGTTTTGCTGAGACAAAGCTATCGAAATAGGAAACAATGGGTGCGAGGTTCTTGTACGTACTTGCACCATTTCAAGATGTATCGGAAACAAGACACTTACACGCAAATCCTCCAAGGCTGGCAATGAATCGGGAAATTCCACAATGATGTCAAAGAGCTCACTAATTCTATCCTCACGAGAATGGTGGTACAGAGAAGGATAATCAAGTATCACTAAGTTTCAATTTGATGCTGGACAAAAGTGAGCTGAGGTGGAAAAAGGAAATCCACAAACCTGAGTTCTGACATAGATTTGTAGATATGGTATTCGAACCTGGATATGGCCGGACGCATGATTGCAATAGCTTGGTCTCCTCCAGCTTCAGCCACAGTATTAGAATGTTGTCCTTCTAGGTGTCCGAGGCTCGATTCAAAGATCTTATACAGCCAAATTCCGATATCTTTCCTAAACCACAACAGCATGTGCTCTAGAGACGCGCCAGGATCATCCCACACTCCTCTACAGACACTGTCGATTCTCTGATCGATTGCATCATACCCCACTGAAAATAAAATTGGTTGAAATGCTTGAAGGAGCCCCAAGCAAGCGAGTTGTTGGACCGGGGTAACGGTCGATTCAGTAGAAACGGGTCTAAACAAGATAGGATTGACTAGATCTTCGGCAAAGAGTGTCTTCAAACTTGAGGGAAATGGAGATGGGATACACGGCAATAAAAGGGAGCAAAAGTGTTTCCGATACGCTTTCCCAATGGAAGGATCCTTCGTGTGACTAGCGAACATGCAACAGAAGTGAGCTTTTATTGTTTGGACAAGCTTCCAAGCCTGAGAGTTGTGGTATTCGAAAAAAACGAACCCGTGTGACAGCAGTCCCAGTCGCTCGTACCATGTCAAGTAAATAAGATGCCATCTTGACAGAAGCTGTAGCAGTGGACCATAATCTTTTGAATCCTATTGCTGAAACAATATCACTTAGTAAAAAAACCCACAGTCAGAGAGGGAGAGGATGATATGAGCATTGCAGAATTGGCGGCTGACCGTCCACCCCATTGCCATCTGGTTTGTTTCTTCCTCTACGTAGGAGAAGCATCGAGCAACTTGGTCTGTAGAAATGACGAGAGGAGTTTGTGATTAAGATGTTTTCAACAAAGGTGCAAGAAGCCTATGATCAAACATACCTTTGTACCATTCAAAGACTTCCTCCTGCAGATTCGACTCAAAGATACACCCAAACGATCGACTCAGCTGATCGGACAATGGTGAAGCATTCGGAATGCAGTTTTCTTCCAACGGCCATTGAGGTTTTAAAAACTTCCTGACGGTTTTGATGGCCTAACAAGCACATTGAGAGTATCAATTGCGGTGGTTCATTTATTCCGGGTACGAGGTTTGTAACCCCATCCGGCCTTTCGTCATAATCTTGGTCGGAAGCTCTTCACCTACCGATACAATTTTGGCGCGCGGACTGCGATGGCCAGCGCTCGTGGTTCGAGTTGTTTTGGCGGCTGATTGAAGTTCGTCCAACGTGATCAAGAATGTCATCGTGACATCAATATGAGAAAGTCTAGGAGAAGTCCACAAGGTGGCGTGAAATGTTGACTGCCTTTGAAACGATCAACTGTCCAAGAATCAACGTACGCGGATTAGATAAAATGAGAGTTCAATTCGTAGAGCATCAACATGAATATGTAGCAGACTGGCAGATTGCAATAATTCTTGGTGACAATGCATCGACCACACCTGATTCATTACCCGCGAGAGCGACTCCCAACCACGACGATCCGGAGCTCGTGTGACGTTTGCGGGGCCAATGCCACGGGTATTAGCAAAAGCACCGGAGGTTACCGGAGGATTCAGACCTCTGACCAGCTCTCATGCGTGAGGGTGGCAAGAGTGATGTTTGGTTATCAGCCATGTGATTACTAATCTCCTTGCATTCATTGACAAACAAGAGACCTGTTTGTCAGCTGATGATTGATCCATCACCTGTGGGGGCTACTCCAAAGACCAGATGATTTATCACTAGATTCTCATATGGTACCAAAAGGCTTTATAGATGTTTCCAGCCATCATTACATAATAATAATTGTATTTGACCAAACATGTGCACCCATCATAGAAAAAGGATACATGGTTCTTATGTGTGGGAGCCTCAGGTGACACTTTGTTGTTGTGTGGATAAGGTAATGACAAGCCATAGGTTAGCCAGATTTAAGATAGGAAAATGATGTGAGAAGGTTGTTGCAAAAATACCAAACACCCTGGGGATTGCTTACAAAGACTATTCAAACATTGATCGAGGGCTAGTATCTTGTAAATTTACACCGGTACTGAAATCTACCTCTGAGCCAACACATGAACCACACATGTGGGTTGATTGAGGTTGAATGTGATCATAACAATAGTAATAGATCCTCATGAAGCAAATCATGCAAAGCAATCATATCAATGTGAATCTTCAAGATGCCATTGATTTTAACATACCAGCTTCTTGTTGTGCTTGAAGCCAATTAGCTGCAACTTTGGCCCTGGAATGGAAAGGACTTTCTTTTTTGGTCAATTTCATCCAAGATTGTAGGTGTTTGAGACTCTTCACAAATTTTTGAGCAAATTTTACAGCAGAAGCTATGTATGTATTTAGGGCCTGTTCAGCTGGAAACCAAATATGGTTTTTGGCCAAATACTCCACCAAAGCCAAAAACCGTATTTGGCCAAATACGGTTTTTAGTTTTTAACAAAAAGAGCAGCGTTTGGCAACGGTCTTTGATCAAAACCAAAAACGGTTTTTGATCAAAAAATCTTCAATTTTAAAAAACAGCCCTGAGGCTGTTTTTGAGACCAAAAAGAGTTTTGGGGCTCATTTGCCCCTCCATTTTGATTTTTCATTGACCGATTTGGTCAACTGTTTGGTAAACGAAAAAGCTGAATTTTGAGTTTTTCTTTTTTTGAAATCCAGCCAAACGGGCCCTTAGTGTATTTTGTCATATATTTCTGAAACAAACTTATCATATTGCTCTGTATCATGTTGAACCTCTCAAGATACAAATTAGATCCTCCCACTACCTCAATGCTTTTTTTGTGAGTGATAATCTGTAAAAGGTGTCTTCACCAGATTGCAACATTTTCTTTCACTTACCAGTATTTAATCTGTTTCTGTAGTCCAAATCCTTGTCACCTATCCATTGAAAAAATAGTCGCAAGGTGGATCATAAGCATTCATCATTCACCAAAACTCAACGATATCAAAGGTAGGAGAGATTCTCAGGGGAGCCACAGTGACAAACTATTTGGGGCTTCTTTGGTGGTGATGTCATCTGCTAGTCCATGTGATGTTTAATTCTTGTAGCCAAAGATTTCCATTATCTCAAGCCATGAGAGTGCATATCCACATATTCTCAATATAGGAAACCCATCTCCACTTCTTATCTAGCATTGCAAGTCCATCTTAAAAACTGGAGCCCTATCTGATTTCCTGGTAAAATACACTACATAATCTGAAAGCTCTTCTGCCATTAACCAATCATCTTTGGGCTCTATGATTCTTGTCAGCCCTGAGCCCTAATTACAGGACCATGGACTAACAGTGCCATATGTAGTATTAAAATATTGTACAAAGCCATAAGCTACATCTCAAGGCTCAGTGTCAAGAGACACTTAAATGCATGTATGTAATGTATTAATACATAATAAACCTAGCCCAAGTGTCAACCAAAAATTGACGCTGGAACTGAGACTATATAAAACCCCCCTTCTTCCCTAGAATCATCCCCCATCTTTTACTACCATCACAACACAGAACCACATTTTACTCGATTCCTATTGAGAGGATCTTCAAGTACATGGCTAGTTGTGTAGTTTGTTAAAGACTATTCTTGAGAATTACAGGCTCCATTGGTGAACACCCAAGGTAATGATTTCTACAAGCCCAGGGCATTCATTGTCTCTAGAAATAAACCTTAAAGTAGCAAAGCTTCCTCCTTTTTAAGGAGTCAAAATTACCCTGCAGGATCTTTGTTTTACAAAAGTGTCAAGCCTGCCCCTCACAGTCTCAAGGTTAGAGCGCACCAGCTCTGAGTTGCCCTTAGTCTTCTCTTCTCTTTCTCAAATCCTGTGAGCCTACTAGCGTCTGTTGGGCTAGTAGAGTCAATAAAAAAGGAGATAGAAGCTTAAACAAACTTCTACTAGACTCGTGGGGATTACAATCCACGAGTTGGAGTATTTAAAGACGTGGGCGTAGAAGCTTTACTTGTAATGAACAAGTAAAGACTTCAGTTAGATGACCTTTTAACAAAGGATTTCACGCCCAGGGATTTTGGGTAATTGTTCTTATTTGCAACGATTAAAATAGAGCCACTGACGCGCAGTTCTCAAGCCTAAATTGAGTCACTTCTTGTACAAAAGAATGATCAATAAAGGAGGTGTTAAAGTCTATCTTAACACCAGGAACTTTAAACTCTGACTAATAGAGGTTCCCCGTAGATTTAGAGTTTCTTATATCAGATAAATCCCTGATCTGATATAAGCCTTACTCAAGGACTACTTCCTTACACGTAATTCCACCAAATGGATATTACGAAACTAACTGATTATAGAGTCTAATCAGATAGAAACAAAGTTCTGATGCGCACACAATAAGGTCAACAAGACACAAGGTTGAATATTCAAAGTTCGTAGAATCAGGCTTTTAAAGTTTGTAGATGTTAGACAAAGTTTTAAAAGTTCTAGGAAAGTGAAAGGAGCAATTTGTAAAGTTGTTGAATGTTAAAGTGATGATTCAAAAACGGGTGGGATCTTCAGGGTTTATATAGTCTGAACCTTGAGAATCTTTGGACTACAAGTGCGCACAAATTGTGGTTCTAAGGTTAGGTTAATTATAGTAACACAGTTACTATTGGGTTATAAGTATATTTCACGTGTTACATATGTGTTACGTCTGTGAAATATATGTAGTTTTGGTTCACATCAAAGTTGTGTACGTACACACTCTTTGATGTAAGTTTTGCACATGTTACATATGCCAAATCATATGTAACTTGACTCTTGAAACTGAGCCTTGAGTTGTAATTGCTGTTTTTAAGGTTTTCTAATATATTTGTCGCCCATTGGTACGCTGGTTTAGTACTCAGGGCTGACAAATCCGCTTCTTAGAGGTCAACTAGCTGTAGTCTTTCCTTGGTTGTACCACGTGAAGACCACCCTTTCCCTTCCCTACTTGATAATCAGTGTAGAGTATGCCCAACAGACGCACACTCCTCACAATCCTGGTTTGTGTCTCCTTTTCATCTTCATCCTTTCATTGTCAAATCTTGTGTTGAGCTGATGAAATACATTTTGTTAATGAATTGTGGTTTTTTTTTGCATTATACATTCCAAAGTATCTCAATGCTATAAAGATTTGTTTTATTGACAACATTTAAATCAGTAGTTCATCATAGAGTGATAGATTGTTGATTTGATTCCAATAT